ATTTATTGGCGTTTCATAATAGAAATGTTATCAAAATTATAGCGGGCGCGGAGTAGTAAAAAAATGGAGGTTAAACCTGGAGACTTAGCAACGCCTCTATATTTAAAATCACAACGTTCAACGTAAACTATTATGAAAAATATAGACGCTTATCACAAGTCGTGTATTTCTCAGTAACTTAATGAACTGTTTTACAGTTCTCCATTTGCTCACGTCTCTGTGTCCGCCAACCTAAGATCTCGGCACAGTTTTAATAAAAAAATGCCCTTAATTATTGTTGTAAAATTAAATTAAAAGATCTGTATATCCCACAGACAATTATTATAAAGTTGATATACACTATAGTAGCATGTAAACAGTGTGTATTTTTTGAATACGTTGCATAGACTGTCCTATAAATATAATATTATATTGTTTTAAAAAATTTTGACATCTCATGAAAGTGCAAATGTTGTGAGAAAATTTTAATGGTTCGGTTGTTTCTAATATTATGTGTAAGTTTAATGTATATAAATAGATTTGTGATCGTTGCGTTTCAATAAGTATATATATAATTATTATTTAGTTAGGAATTGAAAATGATACACTGACATATTTATGATAATGTTCAATTTATTTCGTGTACGGACGTTTGTATAAAACAATGATGTTTAGAATACATTCCAACGGTATCATCACAACATTACTTGTAGTCTTGGTAACATATGACGTCTACTCTGTGCCAGTCTCTATTCTCATACACAATACATACAGCCTGTCACAGATTAGACTAAAACTTACTGCACTCGCTAAAAAGGCAACTTAATGTTTTATTGATCGAGTGCATACAACATTGCAAGAATTAACACGACTACTTTCGAGATCGAAAATGTAAAATTCGAACTCGAAATTAATCGAAAATGAAATATAATTCGCGAAAGAAAGCGACAAATCATATTCGACTTTGAGCGGGTGTACTTTGAGTGCATAATATTGATAATTTTTTTGTACGAAAATTGATGACGAAATTGTTAGACTAAGCGGTTTTGTCATAGCTCCTTTCTGCTAATTTCTATTTCTATGATGTAACCGCTTACTTAAATAATTCGTTAATTACACTCGCTCATTATTTTCAGTTACCCCTCTTTTCGCGAGTGCAGCACTATTCGTAAAGCAGTCACAAATCGATAAGTGTGCTTAAGAATTGTGTCAATGAATAATGTGAAAATGGGAATTTTAAAGCCACTTTTTTGATTCAAGTGTTAACCGCCGTACTCAGAGTCATTTAATGGCTACTTAACCCAGTCCTTAGCAAATGTTTTCAAACAAAATCGTTACTAAGGAATAGATTAAGTCATCATTCAATGTCTCCAAGTATCGCAGTAAGTGTTATTGACAAAGTATTTGCATTGTTAATCTGAAGGATGTGTACAAACTGAAATTTAATTTAAACTGAACATGACTGCATCATCTCTTTAGATTAATACATTAGTGCTTCTCTAGAACATTATTTATGTTCTACAGAACTACTAACGCGATGTGCTTTTATTTATTTAAATTGTAAGCTTACTAGCTAGACTCGGCGGCTATTAGGGAGAGGACTGTAGTGTTCCTAGTTTTACGTATCTAAATTAGATGATGTTTATTAAATTAGGAATCTTACGGCCAACGTTTTTTATCAATTTTGTATTGTAGTTATTCGACTTGTGTTGAAATAATGGTCGATAAATCTGTAGTATTTCTAAAATTGCTGCTTTATTTTATTTCATAGAGTTAGGTACATCGTAATTTCATATTCAGTTTTCATAATATTTCATAACAATTAATATGCTCATATAGGGTGAAGTAAGTGTAATTCATCGTACGTTATATGTCTCGTCTTTCGTCAGTACTCGGTATATACCAGTGCTGTAGCTTCATCTAATGTGCATTTCTAACTTAGTGTTTGTAACTATTGGTATCTGTGTGCATGACTGTCGCAAAATTGATATTGTATGTCAAAATTATTATATGTACATTTAGGCTGTGAGCATTTTGTTAATATATCTTAAATATCGTAATCTAATTAGTCAAAAGGAAATACCCCACCCTGCTTTTAGTGTCTATGTGTGAAATGCTAAATGACATAGAACAAAAGGAATCACCCGTCCAGGCGCGTACTTTTATTTGATTGGCAAGTATTGGCATTAGGCAAGTATATTGTGATAGCTTCTCTTTCTTATCTGTAAAAGTTTTATCCAAATCCTATATTTATGGAAAATCTTTTTAGAATCCTTGTCTACGTACTCAATGTTTTAACGGCTATTGGTGTTTTCTTTCTAACATCATTTACTTATTTGTACTCGCATAGGTGGCAACACAGGATCACGTACACTGCCCAATTCAATAAGATAAATATTTAGTAATAACTGATATTATCTCACGTAGGAAGTATGGTTCGCATGATTGTATATAACTGCAATTTATCTGAGAATATTTATGAAGGAACCTGTCCATTTTATATCTTTATAGTGAACACTAACTATCTATTTACGCTATAGTCCATCACAAATCTACTTGTCGTTTTAGAATGTGGAAAATAAATGTTGTACGTAACTCACAATGTATCGTAACGTATTATATTTAATGGTAATATCTCGAATTTCAATATTTCTACTCGCATACCACCTTTGTAGCTACATATAGTTGCATGTGGATGTCTCTATCGAAGGAAAGCAATAAATTCGAATTAATAATGTACTGTGTCATTTTAAACAATATTATGTCATTTTTTTCATAATTTTAGTTTGTGTACCTAATTGTTGTAGATTTTCATATCGTATTGTGTCACGAGTAGACGCGACACTGCCGGGGGCGGTGGCAGGTCGCGCAAGCAGGCGGTGTAGTGTAGCGGTGACAGTCACTGGACAGTTTGAGGAGGTGTGAAAGTATTGTGGTGCTATCTATGGATGTTTGGAGTGACTGGAACATAAGACAAAACGTGTATTTAAGTTTGTCCTGTTTTTAGAGCTTATTAATATATACAATCTAATATAACTATGCTGTAATTATCTTTATTAATTTTAAGATTATAATTTGTTTGTAATAAATGTGGCATAAGATGATCGCAAGCGTTTTGTGGTCACATTGTACCCCATTTCGTTTCATGGCTTTGAATTTGTGTATTATATTAAAATGTGTTACTGGAACTAGAGTTTCGGTCGAATATAACTGTGTTACTGAATACAATTTGTGAAAATTAATAAAAAAATACTGTAAATCGGACTGGAAAGCCAAAGTAAACAGTATTTTATATATCGATCTTTTATTTTACGAACCACTCTGTACATATAATTATGGAGAGACTACCAGGCTTCTACTTAAGTAGGTAGATTTAGAAAATACCTGTCTGTAAGGCCTCTGCCTCGAATTTTGCGGGCAGCGGCGGCGGCGCGGGAGCGGCAGTATCTTATGCGTAGGATGAAATGGACTGGTTCTCGAAAACACAGCGGCGTTGCGGCCGGTCCCACTGCCCGCAAAATTCGAGGCAGAGGCCTAATACCCGTAAATACTACAGCAAGAATCTGTCGTGGTGGGGGTAAGTTTGCATTGTCGTATATTCTGATTATTTTACGGTTAGCTCCATTTTCATCAAATGCAATCTCCTGTTGTTGTTGATGTTCCGTGGCGCAGCAAAATTTAATGTGGAGTGGTTTGTATAGTGTATTTTATTGCATCCAGCAAACATTTAATATTTTTTGGGCAGGAGGACGGCGCTGCATACTGGAAATCCTCTACTTCTTGGCGAAATTACCACTACGGTAGTATTACTATATTTATTCACCCCATTAATTATCTATTCACCACTCGAATTCTATTAAGCCCTTTATACAGTACTAGCTTTTACCCGCGGCTTCGCTCGCGTCACAAAAGGATAAAAAGCCAATGTGACATATACCAATACACACAGCGCCATCTATACCAATACTTTTGTTTTCCCTCGGGAATATCAAATTTTCCGGGATAAAAAGTACCCTATTATTTAATCCGGACTTCTAACTATACATCTGCAAAAATTCAAAGCAATCGGTTTAGTAGTTACGGCGTTAAAGTGGAACAAACAAACAAACAAACTCACTTTCCCATTTATAATATAAGTAAGGATAGATATTTTTTTCCTTAAGTATTAGTGTAATAATAATAATTAAAGACTATTATAAGCTTCTGCATAAAACCTCGTCTGCGTAGAATTGTATTATAGTTAATAAGATTAAGACAGATTTTTTGTTCTCCAAAAGAATTTATTTTTATGTTGCCTTGGTTATAAGTGTCATTCAAATCGTCAATTTTTCCGAAGACGTGCACGTGCAAACAGACAAACACACCATCACATGTTTCTTTTTTCAAATTGGTTTACTGTTTCACTCCTATGTATAGGCGATGAAAAAGTAAAAAAGAAAAATCTTTTTTATATTTTACTTTTTTTTTATTTGCACTAATTTATTTTTCACTTCGATAGGAAATTGATCTATCGATTCATTAGCACAACTTAAACAATATACCTTTTTATAGAATAAACTACATTCTTTATTGACACAAACAGGTTTATCACAAATCGAGCAGTCAGATCCAAGAACCAGTATTTCTCCCTTTCCCGGTGGACTGAAGGGATCCTTCATGACATAACTTGGATATTTGAGTACTATATTGCGAGAGAAAGGGGGATTTGTTCCTTTATAATGTGGTTTTTCATCAATTCCACACAATATACACTTAAAATCATAGACTGTTTGCTCTTCCTTTGTTTGCACTTCCATAGTGAAAAGCTGAAAAAAAAAATACATTTGGTTAATAAAACATTTCAGCGTAGAACATATGATTGGTTTGGAGGATGTTTCAGTTAATTTTCTAATGAATATACAGATCATCCATTCATTAACTAGATTGTGGCGAATGAAGTATGTACCTAATGAAGCTCTTATATTGTCCATTTCAAAATATACGTACATTAACGTAAGCTCACAAAACATTGTTTATTTTCTTTAATTTGAATCTTCTGCCTCATATTCAGATTTAAACATACTATGCTTTTCTTTAGGAGCCTCTATTGGCCACCAATGTGGCCGCACAATGTCAACAGGTGTCATCCCAACAAACAAGTCCTTAGATTCAAGCGCTTCCTTTATTTTAACTAATCCTATTCCATAATCACATGATTTATTTTTTAACTTTCCTATTTGAATTCTTCCAGGATCGACACTGGCATAGATTGGAGCATCTCTTTCAACTGATTGACAATCTGTGCAGTCCAAGAATTGTAAAGGCATTAGTCTTTTCCTGACAACACCTGTGTGGTGAATGCGAGCTGTTAATTCTTGACCAATGTAACAGCCTTTATGAAAACTTATTCCGTGGAGGTAGTCACAGTTAGATTCAAGAGGAAAAGCAGTTCCGGGGAACAGATCATCTGCCCCCTCGCTTACACCAAGTTTATACCTCAAATTATGATAGTCTTCATCAGTGTGTTTAATTACTGTGTCTTTACCAATAGCAGAGTGCAAATCTAAATTACCAATATCTGAAGTAGTTATCACTCTAAATCCAAGGTCAGCAAGACGTGGATCTCTGTATACACTAATACTGTTTAGAATATCAGTTTTACATATTTCTTCAATATCTAATGGTGTTATCAATGCCCATAAGGTCAATAGTTGACTTGCATCTGATATTTTGATATCTTTCTTTAGTTTGTAAATATTTAGATGCCTTTGTAACAATCGATTAACATTTTTGTCACATTCTATCAAGAATGTGTTGTCGCCTCCCCATTTATGTAATAAGGTATCATATAAAATTCTGCCCTTGTTATTTAAAAACATAGCATACATTGACTGTGCACCTTCTTCAAAATGCTTCATGTCATTCGTGATAAGGCCTTGAAGGAATTGTGAGGCTTGTGATCCGCTTACTTTTATTAAGCTCCGGTTTTTTAATGGATATAACACTTTTGATGAATCCTCAGATGTCGATGAAGACCTAAACAAATTTCTAGACCATTGGTTCCGAAACGTAAATCTATTTAACTGGCTCGTAATCATGATGAAATTATTTCAATAACCTCTATTAATTTAAATTGATCTAAAGTTACACTGGTTTCAGATATTCAGAGGAAATTTTCACATACTTTTATGTTTTTTTCCAGGGATGACAATGACAACTGACGTTTGTGTATATTTTTCAGATTTTTATTGTGACGTGTCTTTATTTTTACTTTTCTTCAGCTTTCTTACTAGAATGTCACTTCTAGCAGGTGATATGTTATCAAAAACAATAACAATTACTAATAATAAATTCTTTATCTCTTGAAGTGCGGGTGACAGCAACTGCCAAACTGACAGTCATATTAATCAGTCACTGTCAAGAATCAAAATAGCGACTTCTGATTGGGTGATAAAAATGTACGTTTACCCATAGATGTAAATAAGGCTCTATGGCTGAAGTCGATACTTTCGTAGATCGATATATGGATGAATTCGAATAGTAACTTGTGGAATCAATAATTATACAGCATGTGTCACAAATATGAAATAATACGTTGAGTACCTATGCAAAGTATTGATGTTACAAATCTATTGCACCGGTAATGAGTTACATAAATGGGTAACGATTTTATGATTATTTTGCTTTAAAGATGAAACAATAACTCACTTCTCACCGATGATAATTATTCTCGAGATAAGACATTTAGGGGCAGAGCTTACAAGCTATTAGGCTGTAGGGGCAAAGTCTGACTAGTATATAGTAATCTGTGGGCAAAGCTTATAAGCTATTAGGCCGTAGGGGGCAGAGCTTACAAGCTACAATTGTAGATGTAGCCATGTAGCTATGAGTGCAGGTTAGAGTTGTATTATTTCTTCAGAAAAAGTAAAAATGTATTTTACACTTCTATCTAAGCCAAGTCCAGCTATAACGTACATTTTAATGACATAATATAATTATCCCATATTTAGACACACTGTACAATGTTAAGGCGGCAAATGAACAGACAGATTTCTAAAAAAAACTATTACATGGGGGCATGGGACTGGGACTTACAAAACAAGTCCTCCCGTAAGTAGTTTATACTAGAGTCTTATCTCCACCACTGCCTATCCCTTCAGGAAAGAAAGAAAGTGAAGGAAATTGGTACATCAGCCACTTCGTATGTTTTTGCGGTTTTATTATCCCTTAATCAACAGAAAAGCAATTAGGGAACCCACCTTAAGAACAAACAACTGATAAAATTGTTAAGAAACGTGCTTTCTCTCTTACTTAACCAGTCGTGTGTCTAAACGTGGATCTACGCGAGACACAATGTATTTTCTATTATGTCATATCGGTGCTTATATCTCGCCTTTCAAGTCATCTCGAAAAGGAATCTCACTTCGATTGTCATCTCGTCTGAACAAGTTTCTATATTCACATTTTTGCAATATGAAGGCTTCGGGAGCAATGAATGAGGCGTGTTCTCCATATAAACTTATTATAATAAATAAATTAATTACTCTTTGATTTACATTTCTTATGATCAAAACAAAGTCAAGTGAAGTGAGTTTCATAAATTCGAGGGTAGGATAGGTGTCTTGTTGTTTATAATTATGGATTAATAATTAATAAATTCAATGGGCTTGCTTGATTTTGAGTAGTTTAATATATACAAATTTTATTTCAGATAACAATATATAGCTATTTAATAAATAGCATTCAACATAATATGTTGAATGCTGCAACATCGCCTTTTCTTATTCACTTTCACTTTACTTTACTCGTTTCTTAATGTCAAATAACAAATGCTAATCTGTCAAAGTAAGAAAAAAGAAAATAGGTAGTAGGTAGTCACTATGTACTACTCATATTTACAATTTTATGCTCGTGTATAGTCAACGTCATGTTTATGTTTACAAACAAGCAGTACCTACATACATAAATTATTCCCCGCGATTTTTCTGTAAAAGACGTGTTTAAAAAAATGAAGTAGGTACAAGTTTTATGGAAAGATGTTATTTGTCTGGATATATTCATATTTACCTAGTTGTTAATCCTCTATTTCAGTGTCGAGCGCATTTCTCATCCATCTGTGGCCCAAGTGGAGTGGCTAGTAGGTTGGTTAGAAAGGAAGCCCAGCTTGGCTAAAGGATTCGCCAAAACTCCAAGCGGTAGGCTGGCAGCTAGTCATGAGTGGGATCGCATCACATTAAGACTTAATAGTATAAGAGGGACGCTGAAGTCGAAAAAACAGTGGCTTAAGGTTCGTTTCAGCTAACTAGTTATAAAATAAAATAAACTAATTTTATTTTATTCAAGTTTGCGAGAGCTATGTTTCGGTACGAATGGGCCGGCTCAACCAACGTGAAATATCACTTGCGTTGAGTTTCGTCGTGTGAGTGAGATTACCATTAGCAATTACCCCTCCCTGCCCAATTCCCGAATCCCCAACAATCTTCAAATTCCCAATACCCAAAAGGTTGGCAACGCACTGGTAACACCTCTGGTGTTTTGGATGTATATGCACTGTTGATTGCTTACCATCAGGCGATCTGTCTGCACGTTCCGGCTTATTCCATAAAAAACAATATATATTATTTGCTGTACCATGCATTGTTATAAAATTATTATTAGGAATTTCTGCATTTCCCATTACAGTACTGGGCTGACAAAAAAAGTGCTGTAAAGAAGAAAGCTGCTGCACGTGCTGCTTTTATAAGTAGTACAGGCATGGTAAAGGTAGAAGAAGGTGAAACACCGCCACAGCTCTCTAATATAGAAGAGCGTATCCTGGTGCTGATGGGTGGTGAAGCATTTATTGCAGGCCACAGAATGTTACAAAATATTAAGGTTGTAAGTATTTAGTGTAGGTATATTAATATAATTATAAGTATATCTTTTACATAGCTTCTTCATAAAAACACATATGATGGGTGGCCAACCGATCAATCAGGACCATTAGAACAGTTGAGTTAATTAACTTTAATTAGAACTTAAAAAACTTAAAAATATTAAATTAGACTTATTATATTAGAATCTACACCTTGCAATGAGCAAATAGCTTCACTTTTAATTATTTTGTCAACATTCAAAAGTGCCTGTCTGGTCTTATTGAAATAAATGATTTTGACTTTGACTTTGAGGTTTCTAAAAGTATGTAAGTGGCAGATCGCACGGGCTTTTGTTAGTAAAAAGTAGATCTTATCAAGTTGGCGACGCCTAATCTATAAAATTGTTTTTACAGGAACCTTCACAGGATAGTGGCTCCATTCGGGCACCAGTTACACAGTCCAGCGGCACCTGCCATAGTTTAAGAGTGGTACCTCCAGTTAGTGTTTTAATTGAATACATATTAGTATCATAAAAATATTTCCATTCATTCCAATGTCAAGATCTAGGTGCTTATTCTTGAAACCAACCTCAATGTCAATGCAATTTCAATCCAATAAAATCTCAATAATAATTCAATGTCAAAACTATACAACCCAATCGTAGCTGTTAAAAAGAATTCGGAGTACGGAATATAAAGCCAAACCCGATACCATTTAGTTTGTTAAATATCCACGTAATACGGATGCAAGAGTGTGTGGATTCAAGAGTAAGCCCCCTGATCTCAATGAAAATATCTATAAAATGTAATTGATGCATCCGGATATTAGCACATTCAAAATTTCAAACAAAACAGCTCTATATGATATTAGTATAAATTGAAATTCTTATTTGTTACTTGCATATTCCTTTAAAAATCAATCATTTGAAAATGTAATATAACATTAAAAATATTTTCTAGAACAATCTTCTGGGCCCAGCAGCAACAGAAGCAGAAGTTACCACCACCTCGGATCCCCTCAGGCTTAATGACAGTTTTATAATTGTAAGAAATATTTAGATTTTTCTTTTGCTTTTCTTTTGTATTATCATAATATAACTATCTTTATTGTTTTTGTCTAGAACATCACAATTCCACCTCCAACACCTGCTGTCCAGGACCAGCAGCAGCAGTATGTGCGTGCTAGAAGCGACACTGAGCAGCCAATGTCTCCAGGCTCTCCTGCAACAAGACCTGTATTATCTAGGCTTTCAAGTAAGCTACAATGCTACTTTATCCACTCAGAGCAATATTTCCAAACCATTTTTTTTAAGGGGGCAAAATCATCGAATTACTGCTCCCGCCTCGGTCAGGCGGGAGTGTCAGACTCTTACTGATTAAAAACCACCCCGTTCCTTCTCCTGCACGTCGAGTCGGAGCCCCGGTTACCCGTTAGGTTCTCCGCGACATTTCCAAACCACTAAAGGTTTGACTGATGTAAAGCTAGCAAGAATTTGCTAACTCATTTACTTTCATTTATGCATCTAAGTTTAGTGCGATTTTGATGCTTCTAAATAATTGTGGCTTTTCTAAAAATCGCGTGTTACTCACGTTCATCCTCATGAGCAGCGTGCGCGGTCGCGGTGATGTTGGCGATGCGAGCGCCAACGCTAGCCAGTAGGCTGCGCGACATCGCCGCGACCACGCACGCTGCTCATGAAGAAGAACCTCTCTGTGGTTCGAAACTAGTAGAGTTCGAAACTATAGTTATTATAAAAACAATTGTGGCTTAATGAAATAGAATCAGGTGTTACTTTGCGGAAATCTATGTTACACTAACAACTTGGAAAATATATAGTTTTTGTGTCGCATCTGTGCTGCATGAGCACTTATTTGTGGGTGGGAGGGCAGTGTTGGATACCGCATGCAGCAGATACATTCCTACAGCAGTATAAAAATGAATATTTTCCAAATTGTTGAATTGTGGCTTTGCATCAGACTAACTGTGTCAGGTGGTCAAACTGTCTTTCAAAGCCGTACGGGTTGGAGTGCGGAGTGAGACAGGGGGGGTTGTCTTCTCCAAAGCTGTTTAACTTGTACATAAATGACCTCATAGTCGGGCTCAGTGGCATGCGTGTCGGATGCCGAGTGGGGGGTGTCTGTGTGAACAACATCAGCTATGCGGACGATATGGTGCTGCTGGGCCCGACTGCGAGGTCAATTAGGGGGATGCTCAAAGTTTGCGAAGAATACGCCGCATCACATGGGCTTATATATAACGTAAGGAAAACACAGTTCATGGTCTTTGGGGCTGCCGGCAAGTGCCCTGACTCCTTTCCTTCAATAACTTTGAATGGCTCTAGTATAAAGCAGGTAGCGAAATTCAAATATCTGGGACATATACTTGTCGACGACCTTAGGGACGATGAGGACGTGGAGAGGGAGCGCAGGGCGTTGGCGGTTCGTGGGAACATGTTGTCGCGCAGATTTTTTCGTTGTACCGATCAGGTAAAAATAACTCTGTTTAAAGCGTACTGCCAAGGCCTGTATGCGGGAAGTCTGTGGTTCAGCTGTTCGCGTGGAACGCTAAGCGCCTTGCGCGTCCAATACAATAATGTTTTCAGGATGATGTTGAAACTCCCACGTTTCTGTAGTGCCTCGGGGATGTTTGCTCAATCGCATACAGATAGTTTTCATGCGATCATCAGAAAAAAGGTGGCATCGCTTGTGAGAAGGATCCGGGGGAGTGACAACAGCATCCTGAAAGTCATTGCCGAGGACCCGAGAGCTCCTGTACTGAGGCATCTCATGAGGAATCATTGTCCTTCTGAGGAGCCTCGTAAGTACATGACGCATTAATTTTGAAGTTGCCAAATATAATTGTAATTATTACTAATCCTAGTGTTTAAGTTTAGCATGTAAGTTACTAACAAAAGTGGATTATTTGTTGTCCGAATAAAAACCTTTATTATTATTATTGTATACTTTACCATTCACGGGACCACAGGGTCCCGGTCATTTGGGAGGCATGCGAGGGGCCGAAGCCAACTGCGCAGAGGCCCTTTAGACAACTTTAATATAAATGTAATGGACACACAAACCGGCGACTATCCCTGTATGCACTATGGAAATGCACCCAAGGACAGTCTCCGGTTAGTGTAAAACTATTGAGGATAATGGAAAAAAAGATAGGGCTATGGATGGGTTGCTGTGGACTGGAAAATTGGGAACTATGGATGACTATGGCACCTGCCGAAACAATGTAATTATTACACGTAAAAATGGCAGGCGGAGACTCGCCAACTCACCGACCGGGCCCCGGGAATGGCTGCTAGATATAGCAACAGAGGGGCAACGAGAATGTGAGTGGCTGAAGGGTTAAGAAACTACCACCGCTTTCTACTCAGATCACTGCTGCTCCAGCCGAAGCTTCCTGCATCCCTGGCCCACTCGCGACTTACGAATAGTTTCTTACCCTCCGAGCAGGATCACTGCTCTCGCGACTCCACTCTGGACGGCCAATGAAGGCAAGCCAGAGGTGGGAGACCTGTTCCTTGTCATCGTTCACTCCAGCCAGCCAATTAAGGCAAGCCGGAGAAGAAGGAACGGTGACTTCTCCCTGGAGCACTCGGGATGATGGTAGCCCGCGGGATCGCTAATGCCCGTCACCTCGCCTCAAGGTGCCCTGCGGGCTTATTATTATTATTATTATTTGCCATCTTAATTTGTGAGATGATGGGGATGGGGCGAACAAATGTGGTTCGGTGACTTCTAAGATTACTGTAACCAATTTACATGCCAAAACTTTTTTGTTTTTCTTTTAGGTCCAACACGATCGCATCGCAGAATTTTGCAAGGCATTAGAAGACGTCGCCAGGTGTCGCCATCATTGCAGCGACGTAACAACCTGTTAGACATGACTGATAAATTCTTGCAGATTGAGCATCGGCGTTTGGAAATAGATAACAGAATGGTTACTGTCATGGAACGCAACAGTGAACGGGACCATTTACTTGTGGAGGCAACTAAAACTATGGGAGAGGGCTTAAAAGCTATGGCCGAAGGCTTGAAAGCTCTGGCAGAAGCAATTAAGCGATAATATAGCTATTATTCATTAGTTAATTCTTTAATATATTGTTATTGTTACATAAGAAATAAAAACATTTTATTATTTGTAAATCTTTATCTTTTTTATTATTTTTTTGACAAATCAACAATCGCAACAAACGCAAATGTTATATTGAAGAATTTAATTTTGTAAATTATTATGCCATAAAACAACATTGTTAGGTTATCATCTTTTCCAATTTTCACTCCCGTTTATTTGACAGATCAATTCACGCGTAAAATGCTCTGAAAAAATCAATTCAGCGTATTTCTTTCGACGAAGGTGAGATGCGAGATGACTTTCGATATGTCAATCCTTACTAATATTATAAGAGTTTGTTTGTTTGTTCCGCTTTCACGCCATAACTACTAGACCGATTGCTTTGAATTTTTGCAGATGTATAGTTAGAAGTCCGGATTAAATAATAGGGTACTTATTATCCCGGAAAAATTTGATATTCCCGAGGGAAAACAAAAGTATTGGTGATGTGTATGTCACATTGGCTTTTTATCCTTTTGTGACGCGAGCGAAGCCGCGGGTAAAAGCTAGTAAGAATATAAAATCTACCCGCTTTAATTCGAGTCGCGGAGAACCTAATGGGTAACCGGGGCTCCGGCTCGAAGTGCAGGAGTAGGAACGGGGTGGTTTTTAGTCAGTAATAGTCTCACCCTCCCTCCCGCCTCATCCAGGCGGGAACAGTCATTCGATGATTTCCCCCCCTTAAAAAAAAACTCGCTATAGTTTCTCCCATTTCGATCATTACTCGGTGGCGCTAGTGTTGTGGCAGTTCGGAATTGAAGGATTGGGGACATTGGGAGGTCAAGACTCCTCCGCCTGGACTGGGCCTCAAGTAACTTCACGGCGAAACATTGTTTTACACCGGTTTTCTATGAGGCTATGGCTATCACCTATGTAATATTCATGGATATTATTATCTACGGTAGAAACCTAAACTTGATTGGTATCAAATAAAAATAACATTTTCAGTAAATCGACGTTTAATTGTACTTAAGCTTACACATAATAATTATAATATTTATAAAGTCAAAGTTTGTCAAAAAGAAGCTGTATATAGCTCGTTTTTATATTATAAAATACAATTTTATATACCTATTTAAAAGCACCTAAACATTTGTCATATTCACTTTGATTTAGCAATGGCGGCAGCAATGGTCGAACACTTGACCGTGCTACATCAGTAGTGTACTAAAGAGTATAAATAGGTAAGTTTAAAAGGCCTAAAGGTTGTTGTAAAACACAAAATAAGATTTTATATACAAATAGGTACCACCTATGAGATGAAGTGCAATTTTACCTAAACAAAAATGGCGCCACTGTAGCTTTTCAGCTTGTATGAGTTCTCAACATTTTTATTCCGCCTCAGAGCTATCACAAAGTAAATCTACTGATTGTGTGCGCGTTCTTGTGACGTATATGTCATCTCGATTTCTTCGGTGGTGCGTGGTGATCTGACTGGTGTGACTGTGAGTGAGGTAGGGGCGGTGTCCTGGCCCTGCTCCACGGAGGCTGTCACCAATTCCGTGGTCACCGTCGGCTCAGACCGAACCGATGCGTTGTCACGTTTACTCGGCGAGCTCTGGTTAGACCGTTGATGATATTTCTGAGTCTTCAATAGGTGGGGGATGACTTTCTGTAAATGTTTTTTTTTTTTTTTTTGTTAGGCGATAGTGCAAAAGTTTGGCAGTCGTTGCATTTTAGACTAAAACAGGTTTTTTTTTTAATGCGGCGTAATTATACCGTTGGAGAAATTCGTCGGATGGGCCCCATCCGACGAATCGTTCCCTATAAACAACAGAGAAGTTCAGGCTTTCCAGCTGGGGGACTGTGGTATTTTGCCAACTTACTGTAGTGTTTCGAATTTTTAAATTGGAGGCCTTGTGAATTTTGTTATAAGGATTATAATCAAATTGTAAAGTTTAACCTGCTGTGGGTCTTTAGCTAGGTAGACATCAGTGCGTCGTAACACAAAGTCTTGTGCAGTAAGACATCGTGCCAGGAGGAGTGCAGCGGCGCAGGCCCAGCTGGCCAGCACTCCTGCGCATGCCCCTCGGGTAGCTGCCACCCGCGCACCGAACCCCCACGTAGAGTTCCACCCCAGTTCCAAGAAAGGATCTACTGATGAGCAACTGGAAGCATAAAGAGGCCACTTAATATACTTATGTACCTACATACTTATTCTACCTAACTACAATTAATTAGCCAAACTTATAGAACGTTTATTTTTGGTGTACCTAAGTAACCAAGGAGTTGACATTTGACTGTATGGCGCAGAATGCGGCCTGATGTTATGTAACCTACTTTATTATGCCTTTACTTTATTTATGCCTTTTAAAGATGACACCGGCAGGCAGTGATTAGGGAATCTCTGTGAAGATAGTTTCTTGTTACAAAATAGACCTTTAAAAGCATGGTAGGCATATCTTAATTTTCATTAAACAAGTTTCCAGCCGCCTTTAAGGCATAACATAACATCATGACTTTTTATACCCGAAGAGGTAGGCAGAGGCAAAATGGCGTTACACCCATTTTTCATTATTTATGTTATGAGTCCCATGAAATATAGTGTGCGTCAGGATTGCTCCGCCAAGTTATCAAATCAGAAAATGGTTTCAGCCAAAAATTTGTCGATATTTGTCAAAATCGAAAGAAACAAACCCCGTATTTGTCAAAGCAGAAATAAAGAAGTTATAAGCGTTTTAAGTTGGCCGCGCAATCCTGACGTCAAGGACTGCGCGGCCACGGAGATCTCAGCAACTACTTGGGATAGAGAAATAATTCCTTTTGTCAACTCAAGTCTGTATTTGTCAGGATTTGTCGAAAAATGAATCAAAGCTCTATATCAATATTATAATTAAATATTCGCCTTGAAAGTCATGGCCGCGCAGTCCTTGATTTGCTATTTTGTTTTTAGTGTTTTTTTTATTAAAATTGAAGACTTCATATAGTATTTTTTTTTTATTTTTTTTTTTTAAGGGGGGAAAATCATCGAATGACTGCCCCCGCCTGGGTGAGGCGGGAGGGAGTGTCAGACTCTTACTGACTAAAAACCACCCCGTTCCTTCTCCTGCACGTCGAGCCGGAGCCCCGGTTACCCGTTAGGTTCTCCGCGACACTTCATATAGTATAGGAGTTAAAAGGAGAAAGGTCTTAATTTGTCGAAACTGACAAAAGCTTTAAAATACGACTAAAGTGTAATTAAACAGACGAAATCAATTTAATACACAAAACTCGTGGCCGCGCAGTCCTGACGTTACTTTAAACCATGATATCTCAATAACTATAGTAGCTAGGATTTTGCTGTAGACGTCCATATAATCCTCATATTAACCCCATTAAAATGACATATCCTTTTACCCTCAACACTGTTTGGGACGCGAGTAATCTCAAGAATTGTGTTACCCCATACAATGTTCTAGTAGAGTGACCATAATTTCGATTTGTTTTTAATCTTTGTCAAACTGGCTATGACAGCACAGTTCAAGGGCATTCTGTTCTGTTAGTCAAAAACTTCTGTACATTTTGTTTATAATGTATAAGAATATCTAAATATTAAAAAAGTTTTTTATCAGTTAACAATAGAAACCAGAACAGAAATGCGCTTAGACTGTATTGTCTTGAACTTATGGTCTTGAAATTATGGTCACTCTACTAGAACATTGTATGGGGTAACATAATTCTTGAGATTACTCGCGTCCCAAACAGTGTTGAGGGTAAAAGGATATGTCATTTTAATGGGGTTAATATGAGGATTATATGGACGTCTACAGCAAAATCCTAGCTACTATAGTTATTGAGATATCATGGTTTAAAGTAACGTCAGGACTGCGCGGCCACGAGTTTTGTGTATTAAATTGATTTCGTCTGTTTAATTACACTTTAGTCGTATTTTAAAGCTTTTGTCAGTTTCGACAAATTAAGAACTTTCTCCTTTTAACTCCTATACTATATGAAGTCTTCAATTTTAATAAAAAAAACACTAAAAACAAAATAGCAAATCAAGGACTGCGCGGCCATGACTTTCAAGGCGAATATTTAATTATAATATTGATATAGAGCTTTGATTCATTTTTCGACAAATCCTGACAAATACAGACTTGAGTTGACAAAAGGAATTATTTCTCTATCCCAAGTAGTTGCTGAGATCTCCGTGGCCGCGCAGTCCTTGACGTCAGGATTGCGCGGCCAACTTAAAACGCTTATAACTTCTTTATTTCTGCTTTGACAAATACGGGGTTTGTTTCTTTCGATTTTGACAAATATCGACAAATTTTTGGCTGAAACCATTTTCTGATTTGATAAGTTGGCGGAGCAATCCTGACGCACACGAAATATAGGGGGTGAGCCTATTGCCATATACTGGACACAATTCCAGGCACCGTGCTACTACTGAGATTTAAAAAAAGTCTACAACGCCTTTAAGGCGTAATGTGAAGAGACTTTGTAATTTTTTAAGCATATTATTTGAATACTTACGTAGTAGAATTAGTGACCTCGTAGAATGCTGCACAAAAGGCGTGCATACCTCTGTTGGTTAAAGCGAAACTGTGGCCAGTAACTCCTACCATCACCAGCGCGAACAGAAGCGCTGGAGTGAGGATCCTCCATGGTTGCTGGAGCCTGAACAAATGCAGTTCCTATTATACCCGGTGAATTAACACTACTGTGTTAAAAAACGGTTATTTAGACGATTGCTAGAATAAGTCCTACGCCCTATATAATTAGGTACGATAGTTACTCCAGAATCCTTTTCTCCGAAGATCGGAATATCGTATATAAAGACCTTTTAGGGATCATTAGGAATTAATTGTCACGTTGATTAATATTATAGGTACTAAATTATATCTTCCGAAAGCCACGAAACGAATTATTTTTAATGAATCGTCGGTCGTTAACAAGACTTCAACAAATCTTCTGCGTGACCTCCTTGGATTCAAGCCAACCAGTGTTGTTCTACATACGACTTTGATCGTTAATAATTAGTTTTCTAATCTGTTTGGACCACAGGTTGTAAAAAATTAAAATATGATCATCTTATCTCATATGAATAATTTCGAACGTAACAATAAAACCGGATTAGAAAGTATAGGATAGTAACATAATTAATAGTTCATATTTCACTGTCAATAATTTGCCGAAATCATAGCATATAAAAAAGTAGATACTAAGCACCTACCATTCAGAATTTTGGGCCTGAAGAAACATCTAGCTACGCCCTTTTTAATCAACATGATGGTATTATGTTTACTAAGGAATTACAAAATCGGATATTCCATTAGTTAGACCTAATTTGGTTGCCGATTCGGAGTCGCGGAGAACCTAACGGGCTCGACATGCAGGAGTAGGAACAGGGTGCTTTTTAGTCAGTAAGAGTCTGACACTCCCTCCCGCCTCACCCAGGCGGGAGCAGTCATTCTATGATTTTCCCCCCTTAAAAAAGACCTAATTTGGTTCTACTTGGGTGGTTGTATATCTACTCAGTCACTGTGTGAATACGTGGTAGGTATATTTTTCCTGTAGCAACCTATGTTTATTTACTATTTTCCTCATCTTCATATAACCTAATCTAAGTATGTACCTATCTACCACCTAGTGACCTAGCTTACTATCGGTGTATGACCCATATATATAATAATTTCATATTTCCGTGGTATGACCTTTTAGCCTGTGCAGGCGAGAGAACAACCACAGGATACTCTTTAATTGTCTTATGTGTCGCCTGGCGGTAGATTTTAACTTTAATTTTGTTACTAAAGATAGAATTTTGTCATTTTTGAGCTACTTACAAATTGTGTCAAAATTCTATCCTACTGGGGATTGATTTTCTTAGATACTGATCTAGGAAAATCTATCGAATATGATCTGTTTAGAAGACCCGGTGACTTACATGCTACAGCTACTGATGGAAATAATTACTCCGTATTGGTTTTAGTGCGGAAAGCATACTACATAGTAGGTCATACACTTAGTGTTTCTTCTCAAAAGCTAGACGCCTATTAACTCGTCGAGTACCGGTTTTATAGACACAATTAAATAACAATAGGTCGCGGTCACCGGTGACCGCTTGGTGTTTGACAGTTTAAATGTTTATAGGCATCCAAACAAGGTAAATCTACTGATATATACGAAGAACACATCTAGGTTATTTTGGATAAAAGTGAGACGGGTAGAAGTAATTTGTAGGCATATTTTTTTTAATGAAATTGTTGTTATTCCTACCCAGTCCTGGCTCGTCCTCCCCTCGGACACATGGTAAACATAGTGATCCATACTGCAGCGAATATCATGGACATCAAGGGCATAAACTCAGCAAACTGACAGTCTCCATTAGATTCGAACAAAGTCCTCGTCGTATCCAACGCTAGGCGATGCGTTTTATTTTCTGTAATCAATATTAAAAGGGAAATCAGTTTCATGTCCTTTTATACAGAACAAAAAGGCAGTGTCTATTCCGATTGCTCGGCCATAGTGCCGTAAAAGAATACGTAAACATTTCGTTTGTAAAATAGTATCGATACGATATTTGGTCAAGTCGATATCAATACAGGTCGAGCAGTCGAAACAAAGGTGTAAAATGCTTGGATATTCTACGTATAACTAACACAAGTTCAATACAATTACCTATAGACTACAGGGTAGGATAATATATGCTTTATTATTTACGGAAAACCATTATAATATTCATTCTTTGATCCGGAAAAAGGCATACATTTCAAACATGTTCAAAAATATTTACACGCACGTGGCAATCTGAATTTGTGGAATTTCCAGTTAATTGAACAGCACTGAATCAAAACCAAATCATGATTGTTAGTAAATTTTGCCTCACAATGTTAGTAAATATTATTTTTGTGTACAAAACAATCCACAAGCAAGGAAAAGTAGGTAGATGTGATGCCGTTACGTTCAAATTTCCTTTTCATGGAGAGAGTTACAGATAAAAAAGTAATCCAAGGTTTTTTGCCGCGACGTAATACTGGCCCTTAACAAAAAAATAAAATAAGAATAAATAATAATGTTATAAAGCCACAGTTCCTAAAACATTCTCTGTAGACCGTTTGTTTTGATAGGTACTACATTAGTGCAGTTCCCGTCTAGAAGTAATAAAAACATTCGCATAATGAATCAGTATAAATAGTACTCGTTTTTCTATTGTTTCGTGTTTAAATGCAATGCTTATTTCTGTAGTCGTTCACACGAAGTTAATGGCTCATAAAACTTATTTCTCGATAAAAGTAATGATAAAAGAGTGCGATCAATAGCCACATAAAACGTACCGGTGAGGAAAGTCTCGCCATCCAATGTTGGAACTTCAGTTGTAGTTTCATTATCATTTGTTTCTCTTTTAACTTTTCCATTATCATCAGAGTTGAGGACGGTCGTGTTACCTTGAGCATCGTCAGTTACATTCTTAAAGTCACGTATTTCACTTAAATTTTGAGCTTTCAGTTCTACCGTGTGGAACTCCAGTTTGCGCGGGAATAACACGCAGTTGTTGTCCACCAACTGCATCGTGTTCTGTAGGAACACATAGTTGGTGATGCCGAAGACGGCTGCACAAACGTACAGTATTATGTGCCATGCTGAAAAAAAATAAAAAATTTTAAATCCTTCGATCTAAGTTTATAGTAAATAAACCATGAGCTATCAAAAATAACAAAGTATATGTATAGGAAATAAAAATACTATTGCAAATTGCAATTCGTAAGTGGTTGAAGTTTAGCTGTTCCCTATTTTTTATATTTGATGTTAGACAGATGATAACTTTTATAAATCTTTTACATTTTACATCATTGTTAATAGTTGCAAAGATTAAGAAATCTAAGCTTATGACCCTATTAACATTATGACTTCCATTTTTAGGTGTAGGTAGGTGTTTACAAATGAATAAGTTATTTATATAAGTGTTTGACGAGGTTGCTCGACTAGTTTCAATGCAGGATGGGGCTCTTAACTCGTCGAGTACCGGTTTTATAGACACAATTAAAGAACAATAGGTCGCGGTCACCGGTGACCGCTTGGTGTTTGACAGTTTAATCATAAGCAGAATGCGCGACAACTGACATATCCACAATTAATTGGAGACAAATAAGGACAGAGTAACTATAATCATAGTTCTAAGGGGCGATGTAACCAACATTAGACAACTTTATCAGAGGAATAATTTGGACATTAATGTCACACCACACGTCAATTTTATTCTGCGAATAAAAATCATCTGTTCTTAAAAAATCAGCAGTATTGGTTAAGGGTTGCTAGGGCTCCGGCTCGAAGTGCAGGAGTAGGAACGGGGTGGTTTTTAGTCAGTATCTCCTCTCCACTCTCACTTCCTCCCGCCTCACCTAGCCGGAAGAACACATTCGATGATTGTACCCCCTTAAAATTCTATAGATATTGTATTATTACTTAAGTACATTTGCCTTTTGCATGTTGCATTAACAAGGATATGAATGACTTTTGGGTCATCGTTTTAAAATTCAACTGGCCTCAAAAAGGTGTGTGTGTGTAGATTTTAATTTTATTGACCTGCATAACCTATTTATACATAGGAGCGATACCTGACTATAGACCATAGAGGTATATTTTATGTTGGGAGGTGATATCTGATAGAAAGAGATGATTAATATACCTCAAGCTATGCATAAAAGTGTTTCTAGAAAGTGGGTCGAGATTTGTTTTTTTTTATGGTATATAAACGAGCGGACGGTTCACCTGATGGCTGATGGTATGCAATCGGCGTCGCCTATGGATACCTGGAACACCAGAGGCGTTACAAGTGCGTTACCTGCCTTTTGGGATTAGGAATTTGAAGATTGTTGGGGATTCAGGGATTGGGGAGGGGGTAGTTGGGCCTCCGGTAACCTCACTTACACAACGAAACACAACGCAAGTGTTGCTTCACGTCGGTTTTCTGTGAGGCCGTGGTATCACTACGGTCGAGCCGGCCCATTCGTGCCGAAGCATGGCTCTCCCACACATTATTTATACAGGTAGATCCTATGTAAATCAAATCAAATCAGACCAGAAACTATTTGTTTCATATTTTCCAAGAACGACTGCTATTTATATCCTAACTATTCATATTCATAACATTGAGATTGAAACATTCGTTACACCTACCCAATTCTGAAACATCGTGTTTAGTGTTGGAGTTAAGGAGAATGGCGACCCTATTTTGGGATTCATTGCTCGGGATAGCGTACATCATGGAAACTTAGGTAGTTGTAAAGCGTGATAAGGACTAACAAAAAAGCTAATGGTAAGTAGATGTGTCTAAACGTGGATCTACGCGATGTACAATGTATTTTCTATTGTGTCTCATATCGGTCCATTCAAGCGGTTAAAAGACAATCTGAACCAAATGTATTTTTTATGGCATAAGCCGGTAAACGAGCTGACGGATCACCTGATGGTACGCAATCGGCGTCGCCCATGGACACCTGGAACACCAGAGGCGTTACAAGTGCGTTACCGGCTTTTTGGGGATTACGAGTTTGAGGATCGTTGGAGATTCATGTATTGGGGAGATTGGGGAAGGGGAGGGTAATTGGGCCTCCGGTAACCTCACTCACACGACGAAACACAAAGCAAGCGTTGCTTCACGTCGGTTTTCTATGAGGCCGTGGTATCACTCCGGTCGAGCCGGCACATTCGTGCCGAAGCATGGCTCTCCCACACTTATATACTACTATGTATAGAATCCGCGACTCCGCGGGCCCCTCTCAATAGCAACATGTCATATAACGTTAATTTTTTTAAATAAATGATTTTATTTCCGAAATTCTCTTTTTGACTTGATGACAAATTAAAAGTAGTTCGAACATTACCTATCAAAAATGAAACTCGAATTGTAATTACAAAGTAAACTAGAACCATTTATCGTGGAAAGTAGTTCAGCGATACACATTGAGTCACCTTTATCGCAAAAGATAACCATACGTTTACAATGACCGTATTCATATATCATGAAACTCAAATGTGAAGTATAAGTGTGAAAAAAATAGGGATAACAGAGAATTTTCTTTACCTATCATCAGGAATCAGGCTTAGCATTACCTAATACTATACCTACCCTAACGGGTTACCGGCGCTCCGGCTCGAAGTGCAGGAGAAGGAACGGGGTGGTTTTAAGTCAGCAAGAGTCTAGCTGACACTCCCTCCCGCCTCACCCAGGCGAGAGCAGTAATCCGATGATTTTCCCCCTTTTAAAAAAAATACCTACCTATCTGTTTTTCAGCATTAGATAAGTTTTGTGAATTTATTCTCACCTTTCCACACATTAAGTTGACTGGAGGACTTCTCCTCCAAATCGTAGTAGTCGTACAAAAGTATCGTCATGTTTTCTTCACTCCATGGTCATGGAAGATCTGGAATAAGTAGATAGAAAATATAAACAATTAATATACCTATCGAAAAAGAATTTTTGTGGGGAATGAGTAACCAGGGAGCGTTTGTAGTCTCGCTTAAAGTTGAGAATGGGTGAACCGATTTGGCTAATTTTGATCTTGAAATGTCCGTGGAAGTCCAGGGAAGGTTTAAAAGGTGAGAAATCAGTTGGGTAAAAAAAATTTTTAAGGCGGTGCAAAGTTTGTCAGGTCAGCTTGTAAGTTATAGAAATATTATTTGATTTGGCCAAGTTCTTGTCCGTTTGACCCAATAATGTAGAATTAATTAATTAAATAGATCAGCCATTTATAACTGCTGTTGTAGGTCAATTAGCGTATTGAATTGACGCGTCCCTGGGGTCCATAATTTACGATCAGAATTAATGTTCTAAGTTCATTCCTTATGGAGTCGAAACTTCGTGTTTTGCCGAAAGTAGGACAAATTCGTCATGTAATATTGCATATTCGGCGAACACAATTGGCGCCAATGTCGGTTTTGAATTAAGATTCGAACACAATTGGCTATTTTTAAACTAAAGTGTTAGTAGCCAGTGAGTAGTTAATGTTACTGTTTACTGATAGTTTGATGAATTTTTCTATTTTTCTTTTTGTATAATCTATATTGTTTTTGTGCAAATAGTTTCTCAGAGTCAATTCACCAAAAAGTACCTATAGCAATTCCACACCTCATTGTGTTATGCACAAATGTTCTCAGTTCTCAGCTATAAAAATTTAAAGGTCACTAAATAATGTAAAATTAACCCAGTTTTGTATATACAAAAGGCCAGTGATGTGCTTTGTATGCCATTTAGACGCCGGCGCCGCTGTCGTGCGTACAAATACGTTCCTACGCATCAACTGTCAGTCTCTCAACATTGAATTATTTCTAACCATCACATCACCGACCGTAAAAGAGACAAATATAGTGGCCAAGTTAAAATGAGATCAATGGACTATAAACCCTTGGCCAAATAGTGCTCTTGACTGATGGATGACATAGTTATCAAATTAATGAGTTTTGAATTTTTGTAAGCAAAGTTATTTATTTATTCATATTGCACAATGTACCTACCTACATATATTACATACAACTAATTCAGTACAATACCCTGTTAGGGCGCAGCAATTTCAAACGTTACGTTTAAGCAATTGAAATGTATAACTATTTCTTAGAGCTATAACTATACCTATATATTAACTATTCTATAGATTTTTATTATATTAAAAAACGTTGCCCTACGCTAGGATTGTCTCCGGTGATGTGGGTGCGTTTACAAACATACAAGTTCACATACACATGACACTCACTCACACCCGGAACAACAATTTGTGGATCACACAAAGAGTTGTTTCGTGCGGGAATTGAACCTGCGACACGTTGCGAGGCAGCTGGTTGCTTATAAAAGAAAAACTATATAATGTTGGAATTAAATATAAAAATACGTACCTATACAATATAACATGTTTTGTTCAACGTGATAAAGCAACTAAAATTTTGAAAAGTTTTTCAAGCAGACGAACTATACGTATATTAATATAAAATACCTTATTGCAAAGATCCCTTGCCTTGCCCTTGCAAGGCCGGAGTTGTGTTGAGACAAAAATAATCGCTGGAAATAGCAACAGGAAATACCTACATAAACTATATAGTATATACCAAGCCAAACGTTAGTTATTGGGAGTTGAATTATGTTATAAAATGTATATTTAGCTAAGCTGTGGCGCTGTTCAACGTTTAGCGTTATTGCATATAACATTTTTACAGCAGTTTTCAGTTCATCGTTTGTTATTATTCGTCGTGTTTCGCTGGAATGATGGATATTGAAATAAAACATTAAAATAGATTAATAATGAAATGTCGACGCCGGGTCGACGCATCTCGACACCAGAGGGCTGGTCTATGTCTCAGTCCGAGGGCAAGCATTTCCATACGACGTGGCAATGCGGCTAGCCTTCTGGGTAGGTACTTTCCCAATTGACGATATTTTTGATGCTCTTTGTTTTAGTGTCTTTTAAGATTACTTACTTAATTAGTTATTTAGATAAACAAAAACTTTAAGTGCCATACGCCAAATTGCTACGATATGGTAGCGTCCTACATCCCTTTCATCATCAACAGTCTATAAATGTCCACTGCTGAGCAAAGAATCTTCTCTCACAGAGAAGGTTTGAGTATTAATCACCACGCTTGCTCAATGCGGGTTGGCATCCCTTTATAATAAAAGATTTTTAACATAAGATATTGTTCGAAAGTTAGAAGAAGATACCTACGTACACACGGCCACAAATCAATCTATACAAAACCAATTCATCCTGGTGTCGCGTCGCATTATCTTTCCGCACATTTAACGTTCAGTTTATACTGGTTATGTAAAGCTCGATGTGTAGCCGTGTGTACATATATATATAATTTGTAAGGACAGATGGAAACATTGAAACTATCACGTCAGTAGGTAGGTCCAACGTCTGAACAAATCACGGTATTTATTGACTAATGTCACCAGCATCGAAATAAACTTAGAATGATTGTCTCATTGCCTCGAATGTATTGTAAGGCGGTGAGGAGTCACAATCACAATGATTATTATGTGTAGTTTCAGTCAGGTAGAAGAGGAGATTCCTACTTCAATTTTACCGTACGATACTTCTAAATTCAAACAGTGAATGGTTCATACCATCACTATCAATTATGGTCCAATATTAAGCTTGATGTGTGTGTGCTGCGTCTTTAGTTTGAGGCGTGGAATCTGTCCAAAAATGAAATAACGGTAGAATGGTAGATGGTATGCTATACCTAGTTCCTCATCAGTGATCCCCACTGCCACTTATTGCTTTGTGAAGGACAATTTTAGCTAAGACTAATTCTCGCTTAGTATAATTAACATGAATCGTCGTTATGGTTAACTAATATTTCATTTCCAATATTCATTTGGTATATTTTCCTTCCTGCAAACTTTGAACACTCGTATTAGGATTTTTTATTAATATTTTATATAAAACGTTGCAGTCAAAATTGTTTTATTACACTTGCATTTGTAAAGAATAATTAACTAACTTAAACCAAATCAGAAACAGTTATCTTACGTAATTTATTTATTGTTAACTAGTTGACCCGGCAAAAATCGTACCGCCTCAATTTTTTCTCACCTTTTAAACGTTCCCTTGACTTCCACGAACATTTCAAGACCAAAATTTGCCAAATCAGTTCAGCCATCCTCGAGTTTTAGCGAGACTAAAGATCGGAAATTCAAATTTATTTATATAAATAGAAATAGATTTAACTTCCCAAAGGTTCTGATTTTGAAGCTTTCGTATAATGCGCGTCTTGGTTCAATACTCCGACCGCACCGAGGTCACCCACTTCGGATGTAGTGTATTTCGTTACTATGGTCACTGCTCAAGCTTATTCGACACCTATATTTAACAATTACGTACTACCTACTTAGGTATAGCTATATATTGCTTTAGGTATAGTAATTATCTAATAAGCTTCTGCTCAAATTAAATATTGTTTGCTCAACATGCTGAGTGTCGCATTTAACTTAAATATTGTAAATTAACTTTTTTTTATCATGTATATAGTTCTAGTTTTTAGTAGATCTAGTTTTTTTATGGTAATAGACGGGAAACGAGCAGACGGTTCACCTGGTGGTAAGCAATTGGTGTCGCCTGTGGACACCTGGAACACCAGAGGCATTACAAGTGCGTTACCAGCCTTTTGGGGATAAGGAGTTTGAGGATCGTTGTGGATTCAGGAATTAGGGAAGATTGGGGAAGGGGAGGGTAATTGGGCCTCCGGTAACGTCACTCACACGACGAATCGCAACGCAAGCGTTGTTTCACGTCGGTTTTCTGAGAAGCCATGGTATCACTCTGGTCGAGTCGGCCCATCCGTGCCGAAGCATAGCTCTCCCACACTTAAAGTACTAGATAGGTGTTCAAAATCTATAATACTGTGGTTTCCATTACTGATTGTTCTTAGGCAACAGTAGACTTGTATGAAATAATTGGATAATTGTAAAGGAGGTACTTGTATTGAATGATTTCCCCTGAGGTTCCACTTCACTGAGTTATTGGCGCATGGTGACCATATACTCATAATATCTAATACCTATACCTACGTATGTAATATAATACGGTAATACTTGTTATGGCATGGTCATATTACTACCTATATACTTAGGTATGTACATGTAGAGAAAAGACTAGGTCGTGTCAATAGATAGCTAGCGAGCATTTAGTGCGAATACCTATCCAAAAAGTATTTTATTTTTATCTAACTTCTAAAACGAGGTTATAGTTTTACATATATCCTCATCCTCATTGTGAATTGTGATATTATCATAGGACCTATTAACCTGAAGTGAATACATATGAATATATTTTCTATTTTGTTAAACACTAATTCATAGTGTCTAGTACCTAACTAATAATTTGCAAAATGTCAGTAAGTAATTGGAACTATTGACTTCTTGTAAGTCGAAAACCTATTAACTTTCTTGTTTCATATTCACACTTCGCCGTCTAGTCGGCCAACGTGTGAATCGTGACATCATTCTCGGTTAATTTTAATTATCGACACTGTACTGTATGAATGTATGAATTCCCGGAGTACACAAACACATTAACAACTCCACGCGTAATTAATTTCTATAATTTATGACTGTTTTTTTCGTGTATTAGGTATAGAATAGAAGTAGGTATTTATTTTGATACTTTCTTTAATTATCTTCTGTAAAAATACGTCACGAGTTGATTGGAGAATACAAGAAACAACATTGATCTTGTGCTACGTATTCCATTTTAAATACTTTTACAACTATTTGAAGGTACGAATTGTAAGTTTCCTGCCATTCCCTGTTTTCACTTTCCTTCTTATAAAAACCCAGTTTTTACAGTAGACATGTCAATTATTTTGAGTAGGCGCACTAACCCAAAGTACAGAGTAAGTAC